GCTATTTCCCTTTGCCCATATTTCTCTTCTTAACGAACTCAAATTACATACATGGAACTAAGCCCAGTATTGTAAATTTGTATAGGGTTCTAGATTTTTTTTGTTTTATACTCTAAATCGACATAAAGTGGAATATTGTTTACAAATTATTCTATTGTTAACTAAATATATGGATTTTTTTAAGTGAAATATTTGCTTCAGATTTCTGTCATATTTTTAGGTTTTTTTTTGGTGAAGTTTTATTTTATTGTCTATTATTACTTTCTCGTATATACGAAGTATAGAGAAAGTATTGTAATCGTGCAAAAAAAATCTCTTGAAATTTTAACAATTTTCACTATATTACACTTCAATCCTTCATAACATCCGAAGTATAGAGGACTTATTTTAATCAGGCAAAAATTATCAATCCAGATTTATCAAAATTAAGAGGTTTTATGCGTAATCCGTTCTGAAAAACTGGGCTCTGCTATCCTGTCCGTATGTCTGTGTGTCTGTCTGTGTGTCTGTGTGTGTGTAAACACGATTACTTGAGTACCGTTACAGCTAGGTTGATGAAATTTCATATATAAGTATTTTATCAAAATCGTAGATTCTGATCAACTTTTGAGCGATTTCCAATAACCGGAAGTGGTCCTTTTTCTACTTTGAATTTTTCAAAAGCCTATAACTTGAGAACTATTTCAGATAGATAAATGAAATTCCACACGTGAGTAAAAGATCTAATTTTCTACCTTCTGTTAAATTTTGAGTAATTTCCGGAAGTAGTAATTTACGCTACTTCCGATTTCTCAAAAAACTAATGTAAATTTTTAAAGTACAAATAATATTGTGCACTATTATGCACTTTTTTTATTTGGCGTTCACTTTGTGTGCAATTCTTTAGTCTACGAGATTTTATTCTATTTTTAAAACTTTAAGTATTTAAAATGGATTAAAAATCATGTCTATAGCCCACGTTCCCATCCCCTGTTGTTTTATATAAGAATATTCGAGAAAGTTTAGGGGAGATCACTCCCGGTTTATTTTTAGTTTATTTTGGTGAAATTTTATTTTGTTGTCTTTTATTTTTAATTGATTTGATGAAATTTTATTTTATTGACTTTTATTTTTACTTCATTCTGTGAAATTCTATTTTATTGTTATAACTTTTACGGAATTTAGTGAAATTCTCTTTTATTGTTATATATTTTACTTTATTTAATGAATTTTTAAAATCGTTATATCTTTTACTTTATTAACGGCATTAATTTCACTCTTTTCTTTCGCTCCAATCCAACCTCCACCACCATCCACTAGCCCCCATACTCACAAAACGAATTAGCTATTTTTATTTTTTATTTAGTCCTTTCCTCGTGTGTCACGAAAACGTGCATGTTAACATGCATTTTTTTTTTCATCTGGAAATTTTCAGTAGCAATGGTTTACATTCTATTCAGTCTTTTTGAATAATTTTTTTGTTTTATACAACGAACTAACACTCTTTATGTACTAATTGACACGTGTTTTAAAGTCGTTTATTTATTATGGTGTGTAAATCACAGCACTATCGACAAAGTACTTAATTTTTCACGAGATACATTTTATTCAAGTTATTTATACAGCTGCCATTAATTGAATCATTATACCGAAATATATATTTAATGTTATAATGTGTCCTGGTAGCCAATTAGTTCAAATGGCTAAGACATTATTAGTTTCTATTTAACCAAATATATTTCTTTTCGTTCTCCTTATGCAACGATCATGCTGCGTTAAATTATGTATTTGATTTAATTACATTTTTTTCTCTTATCAATAATGGTGTCTGTGCCGATCATCTTGTACCGTTTTCCTTAAAAATAAAATCAATGAAAGATGCAATGAAATAAAATCACCTTGTAATTTCTTCTTCTTCTTCGTTCTTAATTATTAGTGTTGAAGGGGATCGAGATTTATCTGCCAGTGAGTTTTGTACTCGAGACTCTGTCCGAATTTATCAACCATAAGCTTTTTTGCCGACTCGACCACGCCTCCAACATAATTAAGCGTTACGTGTCAACTGGTTATGCGCCATTGAGGCCATTGACTCCGATTTCAGCCTGCTTTTCTTTTTGGATTTGCTTCCATAGCCTTTGTCCAACCAAGAACAAACTACAAGGCAGCAGTTGTTTAATTTTGGAGTTGTAATAACTTGTAATAACTCAAAGGATGTTGCAAATCAGATGTAGTACTGGTTTAGTGACGAAACTTTAAAGATGCATCATTAAGTGAAGGGATAGTGTTGTAAGCACAAAGCCTTTCTCGCATGAGTCAGGTGCGAAGCTAAGATGGAAGAAGATTCACCAATCTTTCAAGATCTCAATTCGAGACATTCGGGTTAGCCATCAAATGATTTAATATTCTAGCTATAGCATCAAACATCAAAGCGCTGAATGTTATGATGCATGCTCTCAATAAAAATTGGGCGTGCGGCGTCAAAACGGCCAATGACAAAACGGCCCCGTCAAAACGACCCCGACAAATCGGCCCCGACACAAAAGCCCCGTCAATTTGACCCCGTCAAAATGGCCTGCGACATATGGACCCCGTAATAAAGGCTCCCGATAAATAGGCTCCCGTCATTTCGACTCCCGACAAATAGTGCGTGGGGAGAAGGGTTCACGCTGTACCTTCCTACCTCCAGTATGATTGTAGGTTATCAAAACAAAATGTCATTATCCTGTAAACATCATGTATATCGTGCATTTTCACTTCTGTTCTCGCTTTTATGCAACAGCTCTTTACTGTTGTAAATTAAACATTATTAAAATTTTAGAATTGGTAGATTTTAGCTGTTAAGGGCTTGATTTGTTTGTGAATTGATGTTGGTTCATGAAAAACAATTTCATTCAGGCATTAAAAAGAGGTTATAGTAGTAGTGGAGGTAGGACAAAATGGATACTTCTATACCAATAGAGGTCATGCCATTCATTTGTCTGGAGCCAATATGTCGGGAGCCCATTTGTCGGGAGCCAATATTTCGGGACTCCATTTGTCGGTAGCCATTATGTCATGAGCCCATTTTTTTGGGAGCCCATTTGTTGTGAGGCCTTATTTCGGGTGCTAATATGTCGGGAGCCACTTTGTCGGGAGCTAGTGTGTCCTGAGCCTATTTGTCGGGAGCCTAAATACGGGAGCTCATTTGACGGGAGCTAATAAGTCGGGGCCCTTTTGACGGGGCTATTTCGACTGGGTCGTTTTGTCGGGGGTCGATTTGACGGGGTCATATAAACGGGGCCGTTTTGACGGGGCCGCTTTGTCCCGGGCCGTTTTGACAGGGCACCCAAATAGGGTCTTTGGTCGAAACCCCCAAGAAAAATAACCTGGACATAAACCCCTTGACATAAACCCGCAGGATAAAAAAACCCGAGACATAAACCCCCTTGATACCCCCCCCCCCCCCCCCGACTGACGTTTGTATAAGGAAATAATAGCGATGATGAGAACCAAACAAAAACGAAATTAAAATTAAATTAATGTCATTTTTTAACGACTAACAAAAGAGTTTCTACATATAAACATAGAAAGTCAAGGAGTGACCTTGCTTGCATTTTATCGCAGATCGGCCACCGACAACACCTTAGATATAGGTCATCCACATGTGGGAGCCGTGCGGATCAAAGCAACACATATTTAACAATAAAAAATGTCTTCTGCTCGATTCTGGTGCCTAGTCAAAAGGTAAGATGTTTTTGTTTGGAACTAAGGACAACCTTATGTATTAAAGGCTAATCAGCACTAATTTTTGGATGGTACATTTAAAAGAGTTCCTGCATTATTTTTAAAACTGTATACAGTCCATGCATTGATCAACGGACGGACTGTTCTATGTGTTTGTGCTTTACTTTAAAAGAAAACACAGGAAACATACACAGCAATCTTAAAGAAACTAACGTTCTTAAACACAAACCTCAACCAATTTCTATTATGATTGACTTTGAAATGGCCGTGATAAAAAGTGTTGAAAGGGTAATTCCAGACTGTGAGGTTATAGGATGCTTTTTCCATCTTAGCCAAAACATATTCAGAAAAATACAGGACTCTGGTCTTCAACAACGTTACCAAATTAATAGTGAATTTGCTCTAATGTTCAGAATGCTACCTTCGTTGGCTTTTGTGCCAACTGAACACATTTCTATTTAATACTTGTATTACGGTCGGCGTGGTCGGGCTAGTAAAATTCATGTTTATCAAACTAATAAGTCACGAGTTCGAATCCTCGGGCAGATGAGGCTCTATAGGTGGGGCCAGCAGCCCATCTAGTAGTGATTACTCCAAAATTAAAAAAATAAAACAGCTACTTTGTAGTTTTTATTTGGATGTACAGGGGCTATGGAAACAAAAAAGAAAAGCTGAAATCGTGGTCAATGACTTATGTGGCATAAAATGTTGGCACCTATCACTTAATTGTATTAGAGGAAATCCCGGTCAATAATACATTGAGAACAATGAAGAAGAAGAGTGCTGACGTTTTCATAACATATGATGACAATTGTATACGATCGGGCGAATGTTCAACTATAACCGAATAATTGTGTATTGATAAAAATATACATTTTATAGCTGCATAAGCAAAGTGAATACACAACATGTTGAATACACAACATGTATTTAATTGTTGTAAACACAAAATGCATTGCTGTTGTAAACAGAAGATTTTTTACTTACATGTTGTTTAGGAACAGAATGAATAAACGTTTGATGTATTGTTATAGTGGTTTTTTTTATGATATATCAAATATATTTATTTATGCCTGTATTAAAATTTGTATTAGAATAGGCCAAAAATATAGAAAAAATATATATAAATAAATTACTCGAAATTACAAACGATAGTAAACCACATTAGCATTTATTTGAGTCGTGCAATATTTGCATCTGCTGAAATTATATTACCCATAACTGTATCAGCATTCTTTCAAATAAATTATTTAAAATATCGACAACATTATACACATTTGAAAAAAAAATCAATACAC